CACAGTTACTACTATTGAGCAAGGTACCACCTATATTGTACCTATGCATTTTGTTTTTCTTGCCTAAATGTAAAACTTTACTGATTTTTGAGAGAGAAGAGAACGGTTCTTATGAGCTTTAAAGTTTAAATGAGTGCAAACTTCAAAGTTCTATGGGTACTCTAAAATTTGCTTCTTTGGAAACCCATTTTGCTCATGGCTGTTGACAGAATGATGGAACCATCCATCCCTCTATCCACCCATCCATCTATCCATCAGCAATATATAGTACCTCATAATGACAGAGTAGCAAGGTCACAGCAGAACGGAAGTTTATATATGATGGAGGGTTCTACAAACTCAATCTCAGTTCATGTATGATAAATCAAAAATGAAAAGCAACTGAAAGAAAATATTGTCCCTCCGGGCATCCATTTATGATCGAATGACATAAAATATAGATGGTGTCCTTGTTCTAACAGGAAGATCCTTTCATACAGTTATTTAAAGTGGAGGTCACTCTTGATACATTGCATTTAGCCTTTAAGTTTGGTAGGTTAAAATTGATATTGCTTCCCAGAGTTGCGTTGCTTTCTTCCCGAAAAGCATTCTGGTAAAGTGGAAGAGGTGTCCTTGTTGTTAAAAAGCTCCCAGAACATTCAAGTAACCTCTGTCGAGTGTGTGGGATGCTGACTATTTTTCTCTCTCCTAATTGCTGCTTCTCTGAGCACAAGGAAAAACACAGCTGCTAACCAGAAGGATGCAATAGCTGTCACTTTCCAACCAAGAAAGGAAGGTGAATTGGAGACGAAAGAAAATAGAAGCTGTAGAGTTGTCGACTGGAACAGATGTCAAATGTAATTCTTTTCCCTGTAAATATTTTCTTCATGCTAGGTTTTATATAGCATTTGATATCAAGGCTCCCTGGCTTCATGGACCATCTCCAATTTTCCACTGGGAGAAAGAATAGAGGTCAGAAGCAGTGATTTTACATCTGGAAATTCTGAAGTTCTTCTGCAGAAATATATATTTAACATATTTGTATCATACATGCATTCAGCACCAATCTAAAACGAGAGCCATCCTACTTTCAGTTGTTTAATTGCAGCAGAACAATCTGGACACAATCACTGCAAGCAAGATGAGATGAATTTAATTCTTCCCCCAGAGTCTACCTACTTGTTGGTTTGTTAATACAGCTGCAGGTATATGGTTTGTTTTTCTAAAAAGGCAGCTGGAATAAGGATTAAATTCTTGCTCCGTTCATGATCCAGATTCAGAGCACTCCCAGTATTCTAGAGGAGGGGGGAGGAGGAGGAGGAGGAGGAGGNACCCATCTCCCCAGCACCCTCACTCAAGGAACTGCCCCCAGTGCTAGAAGAGCCACCACCACAGGGATCTCCTGAACCAGAAAAGACTGAGGGCACACGGCCTCTTCACCTTGCTAAAAAGCAGGAGACTGCAGCCATTTGTGGAGAGACAGATGAAGAGGAGGTGGAGAGCGGTGGTGAGGGGATCTTCCGAGAGCGGGATGAGTTTGTCATACGTGTTGAGGATGTTCACGCTCTCAAGGTATGTAATGAGTCTTGAGCATTGACATGGGTGTGTACATTAAAGACACACTTTAAATATTAAAATTGAAAGATATTGTTCAAATGCTCTAAGAGCAGAAATAGGTGACTTGATTCTCTCTGCATGTTTTTTACTTCCTCTGTTGCTAGCTGCAGCCTGTGCAAAAGATTGTGGGAATTGTAATGCAGAATACCTGGAGCATGCTAGCTGAACATTTTTCAAACTAGAAACTCTTAGTGTTCTCAAACACTACATTTAGTGTTGCAGCTCAAAAAATGAGCTGCAGAAGTTTAATTGAGTGAAATTTTGACATTCTAAACTTTAAAGAAAACTTCAGAAAATATTTGAGGGAGGGAAAAGTGTGTAATTAAAATGGGGCAGTTATAAATTATAGGCTTTGCAGTCCAAACTAAATTTAATTGCACTTCATTCCCATTGAGATCAGGAATAAAAAATGACCATAGGTAAAGTATAATATAAGTTCAGTGAGTCCTACATATGACTGGTTTAGTTCTAGAAGCAACCTATAGAGTCCATTTATTTCCCCAAAATGTTACTTCCCTTTTAAAATTGTATTAGGTGATTGTTGACAAGCGATTATATCTTTATGAATACTTATGGGAAGTGGTGAAATGTAAAACATTTTGCCACCAGTTCTTTGGTGGAACCGGTAGTAGAAAATGCTTTAAGAAGTGGAAAAAAAGGTTCCCACAATCGCACAGCACAGCTCATTGTCATAGAACCTTTTTTTTTAGCTTTTTAAAGCATTTTTTCCTGCCTATTCGCCTGAACCGGCAGGAAAAAAAAATGCTTTAAAAAGTTTTTTAAAAAAGCTTCCGACAATCGCGCGGATCAGTTGTGAGCTGCGTGATCGTCGGAAGCTTTTTTTCCTGCTTATTGAAGCATTTTTTCCCCCTATTCCAGCAGGAAAAAAATGCTTTAAAAAGCGAGGGGGGGGGAAAGCTTCTGAGGATCGCATGGATCAGCTGTGAGCTGCGCGATTGTTGGAAGCTTTCCTCCCCTCCCAGTTTTAAAGCATTTTTTTCCTGCCGGTTCGGGCAAATAGGCAGGAAAAAAAATGCTTTAAAAAGTGGAAAAAAAATCTTCCGAGGATCACGTGGCTCACAGCTGATCCGTGCAATCCTCAGAAGCTTTTTTTTACTACTGGTTCGCAGAACCAATGGCAATCGTCCCTACCAGTTCGTGCGAACCGGTGCAAACTGGTAGCATTTCACCCCTGCTTATGGGCATATTAAGAATCAGGTTAGCTTATCATTAATAGCTTCATACAGAAGGACAAATTGTGTAGAAATGCAGCATAACTGGGAGCTCTTTGTTTATTTATTAAATTTATTTATTAAATTTTGTATGCCGCCCACTCTCAAAAGAGACTCATTTTGTCATTTCATGCAATTCCCTTCTGCTACAATCTTGGTTAGAGGGTAGTAGTTGAGCTTATTAGCTATCTAATGCCATCGTTGTAACTAATCTTTTGCCCTTCTCTAGCTTGCACTTCAGACTGGGCGGGAACCACCTCCAATCTGGCGAGTACAGAAAGCTTTGCTTCAAAAGTTTACACCAGAAATCAAGGATGGGCAGCGTCAGTTCTGTGCAACCAGCAATGTGAGCGTCAACACCATCTGTTTAAATACTAACATACTCTGAGGGAAGCCAGAATTTCAGAGATGAGGGATCTCACCAACACGTTAGATATGAAATCAGCAAATTATATTCAAGTATTAAGCTCTGTTCCTATTCCTCCTTTTGCTCCCACCCACCTTCAGGGTGATTCTACCATAAAGGTAGCACAGGGCCAAGCCAAGTATAGAAATACTTATTTTCTTTTGTTAGCCTGTTAATAAAAGAATCCCCCCCCCTTTTGGGGGGGATAGTCCAATTGAACAATTAGTTTGATCTATTATTGTATTGGGCAAAGGATTGCAATTTCAGTTCCATTTGTTCCCTCATTACTTCTGGAAGAAGAGAAGTTATGAATGGGATGGTCTCCCACTCCCTTTTCTTTCTGTATTTAATTCTTTCTTTTCCTGCTTCACTCCTCAGTATCTGGGCTATTTTGGTGATGCCAAGAACCGTTACCAACGACTCTATGTTAAATTCTTGGAGAATATCAACAAGAAAGATTATGTCCG